ATAATAATTGTTGCTTAGTAACAAGCACCAACACCACCATTATGCTACAGCTGCCCATGACACATGCCAATCAAACTCACCCACTGAACTGTTTTTATGGAGGAGATTGGGGATTGACTCACTTTAGGAGAGCCTCATTTGAGGAGATGCAGTAATTGGTGCTTGTGCACAGGTCAAAATGTACAGTTACTGAATCACAGTGATGTCATGCATGTTAAAATAGTAAAAGTATGTGAATATGCTGACTCATGTTGTGATATAGTTTTGATGGAGGCAATTTCCGGCTCTAGAACTGCAGACTGACAGTTTCTGTTGCTGAAAATGAGACACCCCACAAACCTGACCGTCCTGGCTGGATTTAGCTTCTTCTGTTTTCTTTAAAGTTTAGTGCAGCACTGATTTATGTGTTTCACACAGCAGCATTCATTTCTAAGGATTTCCTTGGAAATCAGACAGACACAGTCCAGAGAAGCAGACTCACTGCTGACTGAACTCGATCGGTAAACAAGCCACTTTTGTAGTTTCTCATTTATCAACTGAGGGCTTTGTTTGAAAGACATATCTCCAGCCAAAAAGCTGGAGGTACTGAGAACACCGCTCAAAGGTCTCGATATGAGTATTTAAAACTAGAAGTCTTACACATATATACTGGATTTGTGAGGGATATTTTCTTTTGTTATTAGTCTGCACTCTGGTATTTTGTAGACATTATAAAGTTTAAAAAAATCTGCTCACACAGAGATTCTTCCATGAAATGAGATTTCTGGCCACCTCAGAAACCGGGTATAAGACTAACTGAACAAGTACTGGCTGGTTGAGTCATGATAGCTGGCGCTCAAGTCTCGCTGTTTCATCTGATAAAGTGAATGGTTAGAAGTGATTTCAACCTGATCTCAAACTTGGTACTTTTGGTACTTGGTATCAAAGTTCAGGAGACCTTTTATCCAATATGACAGAGTCTGTGGAACTCTTTTTGACATTTTCTCTAGTGAATTCATTTCATTAATTTTATTTCTGTCTGATCATAGCAAAACAAGCAGTATTTTCCAAAAACAATGAAAAATAATAATAGATAAATAAAATAAATAAAAAATAACCCCGCTATATTCCAGACAGAAAAGGGTTCAGGGAAAAGCAATTGCTTATATGTTTGTGTTGTTTTTTTTAAAGAAAATATAAAATAGCTAGTAAATGCAATTTGGCAGGTCAAAGTTTATATATTGACTTACAATTCCACTATTTATTCACACACTGGTGGAGGCAAGCTACAGTTGTAGCCACAGCTGGGGCAGACTGACAGAAGGCGAGGCTGCCATATCGCAGCCATCGGCCCCTCTGAAGTGTATTGCCCAAGGACACAACAACCAAGACGGACAGAGCTGGGGATCGAATCGGCAACCTTCCGGTTACAAGCTAAGCTCCCAACCCCCTGAACCACAATCACCCCAAGATTTATGTAAATCTTAACTAATACTAGTGTGTTTAAGTTTCAGCATAATTCAGTTTGCCCATTTGTGCCCATCATTGGTTATTTTTTGGGTTACCATTAAGCAGTTATTTGTTCTTTTTAATTTTTGTAAGGCTTTTTGGACAGTATGGCTGCAGTATTGTAGATAAAATTAGTAACTCTTATATGATTAGACTAATGTTAATGAAGCTTATTACCTGTAGTCATTAGTTTAGCTGTACAGTCATGTGGCTTGCATATCAATTACTGGTCTGTGCCACCTGTGGTTAATAGTGCTATTAGTTTTCGTGTAGTGTTCATTGATCTTTCATTTTCTTGTCTCTTCCTTAGGTTGACAAAGACAGCCTATCATGCACTAAGCGAACACTATAACAGTATGAACCGGAGAGATCAGGGTTATATACAGTGACAGATTTTTTTTTCTTGCACACATGAAAAAAAGGTTGTTTAAACTCAGCAGTAATTCCCCTGATGGTCCGGTGCAGTGGAGTGAAAAGGGACAGATGTGGCCTGATGTTTCACAGGGAGACTGACAGCAACGTGTAGGAAGCAAAGAAGCATGATGAAGAGGGAAGGGCAGCATGTTGACATCATGGAATGTGTGTATGTGTGTGACTAGACTGAGCATGAGATACTAGCAGTCTGAATGTGTTGATGCATGTATGCTTACGCTCTGGCCTACTTTCTCACTGATGATGCTGCAGAAAAGAGAGCAGCAGGAGGAGAGGGAGTATCCCACAATGCCACGCTGCTCACCCCATGAGCCATGTGGATGGATAAAGGACGGATGGATGGATAGGTGTCGGAGTCAGCCAAGATCTGCACACACTGAACGTGTTTACTGTCACCACCCTCACATTAGCTCGCGCTTTTGCAGTTTTTAAACCTGTGTCATATCGCAAAGAATAAAACACATAACTTCCGTGTGAGTATTTCGAAATAAATGTTTTGTTTTGTTTTTTAAATTAATTGGTTAGTTGTGGCTATGAGGAACCTCGTGGAAGCCATTTAATATCAAATATGTACTTAACGTTTCAATGGATTTGATGTTAAAGAAGAAACTGTAAATAAATCACTAATATTAGTCATAAAATAGTAGTTTAAAAGATTTTGAGCTTTAAAAACAACTACGTCATCTGAAATTTTAAATCTGCCTTTAACTTGTGGTAAAAAAATGCATGGGAATATGGAGCTTCTTAATGTGTAAAAAAGTATAAGTGCAGGGATTGATTCTAAATCATAATTATAATTTGTGCAAGAACTCACTTTAAAAAAAAAAACAAAAAATCAGAATATTTTTGTGTTTGTCAGTTGTTGTAAAATGTACTTATTAGGTATTTTCAGGCTTATTTAAGGGGAAACTGGTCCAAAATTAAAAAAGTAGGAGAAGAAAGCAAAAGGAAACCTAGTTTAAACCTTTAATTTAAAAAAATAGCGGGCACAAAACTATAGTAAAAAAAACAAACAAGCAAAAAACCTTACTGCTCTATGTATAAATAACTATTTTATGACATAAAAAGACAATGGTTAATTTTTAATGAATTATTATAATATTATTTTTAAAATATCAAATGTCACATAAAAATGTATCGTTTAAAAAAAAAAGTTTGGGGGCTTTTATTTTGAAGACAAGTTTTCCCACTTCCTACCTGGCGTGCGTAGCTTGACGTAGCTCACTGCCAGTTGGTCAGGGGGCTCGTGAGTGCAGTTCGTTCTGTTGTCCAGGCGGCTGCGCGTGCTGCCGTGCTCGGCTGCAGTATATAAAGGCGGTCAGCGGTCAAAGCCCACACAGCCGCTGTCAGCGTTACGGGTTTTTTTTTATTTTTTATTATCACGCCGGAGTAGTTAGACTCTCCTTTTCACCGCCGGCATCCGCGTCCCCTCAGTACCCGGAGGAGAGGGGGTCCAGCGCGGCGTGACACCGCGAGGAGCGACCAGCATGGACCCCCAAGCGAAGGATCGCACCAGCCCGGCGGCGGGGGGCTTAAGCGGGCGCCCGGCCTCTCTCGGAGCTGACGGGGGTGACTCGGAGTCCGGAGCCGGCTCGGAGGAGGCTGCCGTGGGCTGCTGCAGCGACACGTTCAGCAGCCTGCCTGACATGGAGCAAGAGACTCTGGAGGAGAAATTAAGGGGACTGGCGTTCAGAAAACAGACGTCGTATCGGTGAGTGGGATAGCTGGGAGGATGCTGGGGAAGGATACTGGTTCGAGAAGGATATGTTTGTGCATTTATTATGTCTTTGCGCCTATACTTCACTCTCCTCGTGCTTAAGTTACACGTTAAAGGCTAAAGCTGCTGCAAGAATTACACCCATGCTAGCTAAATCTTGTAAACATAAACACACACTGAGTGGTGCATACTTCAGCTCATAGCTGAAAAGCTAAATTCTCACATGTCATGGTTATGATAACCCTGCCTTGTCCCAGGCTGTGCTCACCATGCTGCTGTTGACAGCCCCAGCACTGATATGCGCACAAAAGCCAGGGCATTTTAGCCCCATCAGTGAGGGATAAAAACAATTTTACATACACAACAATGTGTGCATGTCCCTGTGGTGCTGGAACAGTGTGGAGGAGGGGGAGGAAGTGAAGCTGTATTGATTTGTGATGTGTGTGTGTGTGTGTGCGTGTGCGTGCCTGCGTGAATGCCAGCAGCATCCTGACACCCCAGTGTGACTGGCAGCTGCAGTTGATAGTGAAAACTGGCCAGATCCCAAGCCCACACGTTCACACAGTCTATCTGTCTGTCTTTCTGTCTAGGCTTTGTGTTTATGTGTCTGCTGGAAATGATCTGTAGTTGGGGGTCAAATCAATCATTTCAGCTTGTTTGTGTTCGACTAACTTGTTTGTGTCTGATTTGGGGCAGTGTGATAAAGTGAAGTATACTTTTTTTTAATTTTTTTTTTTTTACCATTTTTACCATCAGCACTATTAACTCTTTGCTTGGGAAATTGATAAGAAAGAGTCACAACCTCTAATCTGGTGACTCTGTGCTCGTATGTACTGATTTGTGTCATGAAATTAATATTTTTCACTTTCAGATGTCGATGCCGTTCACATTTTGAATGTGGGAGGGTTTGCAGGAGAGGTTGAGTGAGTCATTTTGCAACTTGAACTGTCGACCTCACTTTGACTCGCAGATTTTAATCATCAAGTAAAAATGACTCTGTTTAGTTTAGGGATTAAAAACTACTTGGTTAGATTGAAGGTCACAAAACAGCTTGGTCAATAAAACCTACTTTGATCTGTTAAGGGAATAAAATCTACTCTGATTAGAAAAATATCATGTTTTTGGGTTAAAACACACCGATTGCCACTTCTTTTTCTTGGTTTCCATGGTGAGACATCCCCTCCTATTGAAATACATTCGTTTTAAAGTTATAAATCACATTTGGTCTTCGTCAACACAAAGAATAAAAACTGTAAATTAAAAATTATGGCTGCATTTGATAAATTAGTTTCTTTTAAACCTGGGTGGGGGGTGGGGGGGCAGGATAATTACTGTAAGCCTTTTATTGCCCCAGTAATTAATGACCCAGTCAGATTAAATATGCCCCATGTAAACACATTACAGTTGAATAAACCATTACTTTTTTTTGAGGAATGCAATTCATCTCTTTTTAAAAAGGGCTGGTACATTATAATAATCCTATTACAATCCATTCGACAGATGATAATTACCCATTTTTTGTTGTTGTTGTTTGGAGTGTGCATGATCTTTTTAAACAGTGTAAGGCAAAGACAACAGAGACTCACAACTCCTTTGTGTTTATTTTATCATCATTTACGGAGTCTCTGTTCCGAGGGGAAACCATCTTTGGTTAAGTGAGGTTTCCAGGAGATTGTGTTTCCTGGGGAGTGCCACAGCTGGCTTGCCTTTTTCCAATTTTATGACTGCAGGAGTAGTTTCTTGTGATAAAAGTGTTGCCTCAGTAGAAAATGCAGCAGTAAACCAGAGCATTGATGGGTTTGGTACACTGAACATATCAAACCCTCGTCTGCTTTATGGACTCCGGAGGAAAGGATGACGTCATGTGAAGAATCGTGTTCAGCCAGCAGAAGTCTTAGTTGGCAGAAGTTGTGTTATTATTATGTGATAGTCAAGGAAGTGGTGGTGTTTGATTATTTGCTCGACATGGATCCATTTTATTGCGCTTAACTGAGTCAAATATAGCGAGTCAAATGTTCATAAGTAGTACTTTTTTAAAAAAAATGGTGTTTCTCCAGACATTTTGTGCCTGTGAGGAAGAGTCAGTATTTGAGATTTATTGTTCTGTGAAACAGTTCAGAGCTTGATCGGAACTATTTTAAGTCACAATTTTGGCTTCCAGTGATTATGAAAACAATTACCCCATGGTAACCAATAGTTGCGAGGGAAAGATTGGTTGGGGAGTGTTTGCGGGAGGTTGCTTGCTCTCGCTGGGTGAAAGTGGTGCACCCAAAACCTTCTTACGTTTGCTTTGGTTGCTCCTAGATAGCAGCGATTAACTTTTACTTTGAAGGTGAACGCCCTAAGTTTCCCGTTTTCATCGCCCATTTTTTTGGTTTCACTACTGCAGTTAGTGAAGGTTTACAGATGCAGTGGTGTCTTCTGTGGAACCTAAAGGCGAATGTGATAATCTGATTGCAACCAAAGAAAGCTCAGGGAGGTTTTTGATGTTATCACCATTTTTTTTGACCAGTTTAACCTAGCAACAACTGGTCAGAGAATAAACGTTTCTCCTAGGGACCAGCAGTTTCTGACTCGTCTCTAGGCCCGTGTAATTGACCAACTTGCTCGCTGTTAAGTTCAGCTCTAGCTGAGATGACTTCGATAGGTAAAACCCAGCAGTTTCCATAGAAGAACCTGTGGAGGAACTACTACTTGCTGCTTTTTGTCTCCAGATCTCTCAGGATCCATTGAACTGGCCTGCTTTAAGTGATGCACAGCAGCTGGCTGTTGTCTTGGCAAAGGTGATAAGATCCCAACAATTTAAATGTGAGACAGTTTAATTTAGTAAATACACAGTTTTCCATAGCCTGTGAGTAATTCTGATCATAATTTTTGCCAAAAAATAAGGAGTTAACCTGTGGTCTGCCATACTACACCAAAATAAGGTGGTGTAGTCCAAGGAGCTGGCGATTGTCTAATTTAAAAATGCAACATTTTTTTTACGTAAAAAGAAATGGGAACAATTTGACTGTGTTTTTATTAGGTTATTAGGCATTAGTTACCCTGTTTTCATCTGGTTAATATACTAATACAGTTAGTTTATACAACAGGAACAACTGACAAGTACTTGTAAGGTTATCTTGTGTTTTATAACTGCCGATACCCTTAAAACCTGTCATTCATCAACAGATAGTTGTTGGTGTTTTTGAGATGAAATTCTGGCAAGTGTGATTGCTCTTTTATGATGATTATCAGACACTTGGCTCAAACTTGATTGAGTAATGCAACTAGAAACCAGAAGATTTACCCAAACTCGGGCCTAGATATTCTACATATATAGAAATGCAGATTTCTCTGTATAGAGATTAATATTTACAGAGTATATTGGAATATTACACCAGAATTGAGAGTAAATGTTCTGGGAGGAAAGTGGAATGACAAAAGATGAACCAAATAATGACCTTGTAAGAGGTGAACATTGTTTCATCCATGTCCACCCTGTCCCTTTATAGCTGCTTCCAGTAGCTGTATTCAGTGCTCATAAACTGTAAATGGCCTCACTGGAATCCCTAGTTGGATTATTTTTGTTTTTAAAGCAGAGAATTTGGCTCATGTTACTGCAGCCACTGTTTGCTACTGTGCACCGAGTATTTCAGAGAAGAAGAATGTGGAAATAAAATGCCAGATGGTTAGAAAACCTGCCATTTTTTTTCTTTTTCTTTTTCTTTTTAGTTAATGAAGAACTTATATTGTGTATATGGTACTTTTTGCTGGAATTTCACTTATTCCCTAGCATGATGTTCTTTTGTCACATCTGAAGTTAGAACAGTTTGTTTCTTTATTGTATTTCTAATCCACCGCAGTATGTCGGTCGTATGTTTGGACTGGAAGAATACAGTCTGGTATATTTAATTACGCCAAATAAATCTGCCTTGTTCTATCAACACGACAAAGACAGATTGGCACGGTGGTTAACGTGGCGTGTCTTGGGTTGTTCGGACCTTTGACCTTATTGGATGAGGCTATGGTTAATCTGTGAATTTTCTGCTTCGTGGAATCAGCCATGATGTGCAGGAAATGGAATTAGCCGGTCAGGGGAGATGGTTTGTAAGAAGGTGGTTTACATAGCTTTGAAGTGGCCAATGCCAAGAAGTGAATTACCATATGTGGCAATATGAAAGAGCTGAGAAATTATGCTGTTGAACATCAAAGCCAGCGAGTGTGTGAGTGTATGCGAGGAGCTGTGGTATTGTGTGTTTATGGCAGCATGAAGCACGTGTAACTTATCTGCCAGACATTCGTCACACTTTTTCTGTGTGTGTGTGTGCGTGTTCCCAGAATGCTGTCCCTCCTTTTATCTATTCTTAGATGTCTCACCCATCTGCCTGCATGACAGCCCTTCCTCTGTCAAAAAGACAGCGGCTTTGTGTGTGTCTGTGTAGTCAGCGCACCGGTTGGTTTGTAAGACATTACTTTAATTAGCTAGTCAGTCAGCCGGCTGGACACTCAATCTGTAAGTGAGTCAGTGACATGTTTCTCCAACCACTTCCTGGTTATCTGTGACAGGCAGTTGGTCAGCGTTGCATTTATAGATTTTTCGGATTATCTAGCTGTCAACACAGTTGGCATTAGAGCTCATAAAATTATATAAACCCGCTACAGTACCCACAACCCATAAAGCAGAGCCTTAGCAGAGCGGCAGTTGTGCTCGTAGCAGCGAAACGAGACTCTATCTCTTCTGTCCTGACCTCACAATGACCCCACTCCATCCCTGCGCACTCTTTCTGAAGTCCTATTGTACCCCAAAGCCCATACATACATGTCTACAATATTTGCAGTCTTCCTGGAACACTCTATTAATTATGCCACAACTGACTGATAGCCACGTTGAGATTAGATATAAAATATTCATTGCAACTTAGAGCTGCATTGTAGTTGAAATACGTAGTGGGAGATATGTACTGTAAGATAATGCCATTAGAGATGCTGGGGTTCTTCCCTGCACCATTAAA